GGACAGTCTTGACCTGGAGGCCTCCAGCCGAATACGGCCCATCCCAGTGGCCCCAGCATGAGGACAACAGGTGCTCGACAGATGTTCCCTGGAGTTCCTCGCTAACAACAATCAGTAAACAAAAGCACCCAGAATTTCTGTTCGGGATGATGAGAACATTCTGGAAATGAGCAGGGGTGAGGGTTGCACAACCACGTGAGTGCAGTCAATGCCACTGAACTGTACACCTAAAAATGGTTACAATCGTTAAGTTTTATGTTATTTATATTTAACCACAATAAAAAAAACAAAGACAAACCCACCCTGTGTCGTGTTATGAAAAACAGCTCCGCGCGGGGTTCAGAGCCTGACGCTACCTCTGTCCAGTGGTGTGACCTGGCGCAAGTTGCTCAACCTCTCTGGGCCTGTTTCTTCATTCGTGTAGGGGAGTCCTGGACCACCTGCTTTGTGGGGTTGCCCGGGAGGGTAGAACACATCGTGCACATGAAGCGTCGCGAAGGTGCTCGGTCAACACCAGCTGGTGTTTATTTCGCACGTGTTTCCCTAACACACTGTGCAGCAGGCAGGGCCTTTTATGTGATTCATTCACTTCATCATCACAACAACCTTAAGAGGTGGGCGTTTTTATCAGTCCCCTTTGTACAGATGAGGAAACAGGCTGCGAGGGTGGGGGTGTGGCCACTTACCGATGACGGATGACTCCGCAACCAGCAAGCGGTGGCAGGACCCTCTCCCACTGCCTAGCCAAGCCAGGACAGCCCCGGCCTTGCCCCGCCCGAATCTAAGAAGGCCAGAGGGAGGTTGGAGCAGGGCAGGGTAGAGGCGTGGAGGTCTCTGACCTCTGCCCCGGCTCCAAGGTCGGCGGGCTGGGAGGGCTGTGTGTTTGCCGTTTGTTTGCTGCTTGCAATGTTTGCCCATCTCAGGGACAGGAACAGGCTGAAGGTCGTTCGGGGTGGACTTGAGAGGCAGCTCACAAACAAACTGTTGGGGGATGGGAGCGGAGCGATCACAAGGAGGGAGTGGGGTGGGGGCAGGGCCCGGAGACCCCTGTGTGTGTCCGAGAGCAGGGAGCATCTTTGAGATTGCAACTCTGTGTCCTGCGAGTCACCAGTCCTGGCCACCAAACCCCAAAATCACCCTCATCTCTTTCTCTCCACCCCAGAGTCCCTGCACCATTCCAGACCTCATCCCCACAGCCCGTGAATCCCTGCGCCCGCCTCCCCTCTAAGCAGAAGCCGGGGGTGAAAAAGAGTTTGAAATGTCCCCTCCGTCTCTTCTTTCTGCTTTCTCTCTGGGAGATTTCCATACATTTTGAAAAATGAAGACATAATTCACATTCCATAAAATTCACCCTTTTAAAAAGGTGTATAGGCCAGGCACTGTGGCTCACACCTGTAATCCTAGCACTCTGGGAGGCCAAGGTGGGAGGATTGCTTGAGTTCAGGAGTTCAAGACCAACCTGAGCAAGAGCGAGACCCCGTCTCTACTAAAAATAGAAAGAAATTGGCCAAACAACTAAAAATAGAAAAAATTACCCGGGCATGGTGGTGCATGCCTGTAGTCCCAGTTACCTGGGAGGCTGAGGCAGGAGGATTGCGTAAGCCCAGGAGTTTGAGGTTGCTGTGAGCTAGGCTGAGGCCATGGCACTCTAGCCCGGGCAAGAGAGTGAGACTCTGTTTCAAAATAAAATAAAATAAAATAAAAAGGTGTACAATTCAATTGTTTTTCGTATGTTGGCAAGGTTGCACGGGCATCACCATCTAATTCCAGAACATTCTCATCGTCCCAAAAGGAAGCCCTGTAGCCAATTGTGATCACTCATTCCCTCCTCCCCTCCAGCACAGGCAACCACGTGTCTGCTTTCTGTCTCTGTGGATTTGCCTGTTCTGAACATTTCACGTGAATGGAATCATGTAACACGCGGTATTTAGTGACCAGCGTCTTTCACTTAGCATGTTTTCTTGGTCCACCCATGTTGTAGCATGTGTCAGTACTTCATTTCTTTTTATGACTGAATGAAACCCCACTATATAGATATGCATATATGTACACAGCTATATAATACACTGCATGGATTTGTTAATCCATTCGCCAGTTGTTGGGCATTTGCGGTGTTTCTACTTTTTGGCTATTGAATGAACGATACTGTGAACATTTGTGTTCAAGTTATTGTGTGAACACGTGTCTTCAGTGCTTTCGGGAGGATACCTAGGAGTGGAATTGCTGGGTCACGTGGTAACTCAGGGTAACTTTTGGGGAACAGATGAACTGTTTTCCAAAGTGGCTCCATTCATTCATTGTGTCCAGTTTTTCATTCATCTGTTTGTACAATAAACATTCATGGGAAAAAATCGTGTTGCTCATCATACTCGTCCCCAATTCTCTTTGGCTAATTCTGAATCGTCTTTCAGGTTTCAGGTCCAACAGCTCTTCCTTCAGGAGGGACCCATGACCCCCTAGGCTAGGCCAGGCACCCCGTGGAGTCCCACATCCCCGCCCTGCCCACTGTGGGGTGTGTCTGCCGTGGGTGGGGCTGCAGCTGCTTCGTGTGTCCAAGCGTGTCTGAGCGTGCCCTCCCACACCTGGAGAGTGAGCGTTTCTACTTATGCATCTGGGACTCTCCGGGTGTCTCTTTCCTGGTATCATCAGGGACTCTTTGCTCTCCAAAGTCCCAAAGGTCTGTCTGTGAACCCGAGAAGAAAAATGTATTGGTTCTAAAGTATGAAATAGACGACGCAGGAGGATTGCTTGAGCTCAGGAGTTCGAGACCAGCCTGAGCAAGAGTGAGACCCTGTCTCTATAGGAAAAACAAAAAAAGAAATAAAAAAGGAAAATCACAAAATTAGACTTAATGAATTCATGAATGGGTATTAAATGGTAATCAAGTATTTGCATATCAGCTGGTGGTCAGTGCAATGTAAATGTTCATTTATTGATTCAAGAAGTATCGATTGAGTTCCCACTGTGTGCCAGGCACTGTTCTAGGCATTTGGGGAACAGGACAGTCTCTGTGGACCTGACATAACAGCGGGAGACAGTAAACAAGTAAATGAATACATATGATATATCAGCAAGTAATAAATTCTGAAAAGAAAGGCACACGAGGACATAGAGGAACAATATGGGGGAGTGCGATGTGTGGGGGGTGATTTTTGAAGAGACCCGGAGGAAGTGAGGAGTGAGCCAGGCAGATATCGGCACACCTGGGGGAAGAGCAGCCCAGGAGGAGGAACAGCAAGTGCAAAGGCCCTGAGGCAGAAGCCTGTCCAGTGTGTGGGAGGAGCAGTGAGGAGCTGCTGGTGGGGGAAGGGGCCAGGAGAGGGAGGGGGTCCTGGGGAGCTGGGCAGTGTCTGGCCGGTAGACCTTGGCAAGTTCTTTGGGTTTCAGTCAGGAGAGTTCTGAACAGAGGAAGGACACAATTTGATTTATGTTCTAACAGGATCCCTCTGGCTGCTGAGTGAGGGGAGATTGTAGGGCCAGGCGCGGTGACTCACGCCTGTAATCCTAGCACTCTGGGAGGCCGAGGTGGGCGGATTGTTTGAGCTCAGGAGTTCGAGACCAGCCTGAGCAAGAGCGAGACCCCGTCTCTACTAAAAAAAAAAATAGAAAGAAATTAGCTGGACAACTAAAAATATATATAGAAAAAATTAGCCGGGCATGGTGGTGCATGCCTGTAGTCCCAGCTACCGGGAGGCTGAGGCAGGAGGATCGCTTGAGCCCAGGAGTTTGAGGTTGCTGTGAGCTAGGCTGACGCTGCGGCACTCACTCTAGCCAGGGCAACAGAGTGAGACTCTGTTTCAAAAAAAACACCAGCTTGGGCCACATAGTGAGACCCCATCTCTTAAAAAAAAAAAAAGAATTAGCCAGGTGGTGTGTACCTGTAGTCCCAGCTACTCGGAGGCTTAGTCAGGAGGATTGCTTGGGCCCAGGAGGACGAGGCTGCAGTCAGCTATGATTGTGCCACTGCACTCCAGCCTGGGCAACAGAGGGAGACCCCATCTCTTAAAACAAAAACAAAACTAAAAATAAAATAAAATAAACAGGTACAGAATATATCCTATGCCAACTAGCCAACCGCAGTGCAGACAGACTCCTCACATGAATTTGGTTTAATGAAGGACGAGGGTGCGTTTTAATATGCTTGCTATGATGCTAATCAGCCCTGGGCCCCGGCGTGTGTGCACGGGCACACGTGGCGTGTCCAGCACGCTGACTCAGAGGGGAGGAAAATGAGTAAGAGTGTGGCCCTGGGACCCCTCGCCTGGGCTCATAACCCACCTGTACCCACTTTTGGCAATGTGACCTCGGGCAAGCCACTTTAGGCTTCTCTGCCTCGGTTTCTTCATCTGCCTGCACCATGACTAGTTCTGCGCTGGGCTGTTTCTGGGACACAGTGGTGACAACAGCCTTGGCCCTGCTCTTCTGGGGCTCTCAGTCCAGTGGGAGAAACAGGCCAGTCCCTAGAGCACCGTCTATGATGACCTGGAGTGGGCAGGACTGGGATGGAGATGCTTGACCCAGCCTGGTGGTCAAGGAGGGCTCCCTGGAGGAGGGGACATTGGAAGTGAGACATGGACACTGAAGATTGTGTCATCTCTTTCAGGGTTCCAGCCCAGTCCTACCCTCACCTCTTCCATAGCTCCACCTACTGTGTGCAGCGACAAATCCAACCCAGTCCCTTACCTGACCAACCCAGGTGTAGCACAGTGACAGTGCCAGGCTGGGGGTTCAGTCCAGTTCTCCACTTCCTGGCTGTGTGACCTTACACGTGCGATGTCACCTCTCTGGGCCTCAATGCCCTTATGGGATTAACAAGGCCCAGCTCACAAGGTTCTTGTGAAGATTCTTTCGAGATCATGAAGTTAAAACATCCTTAGCACAGGGCAAGTATTAATAGTTTAGGCTCAATACGTCCGAGTCCTTGCCATGAGTCCCTAAGGCGGAGCCCCACCCTCCCCCGCAGCGCCTGCCCCACAGTGACGAAGCACTCCGAGAGAATTTTCTATGGGACTTTTATTGGTGGCAGGTCGCGGAGTGGGTGACAGGGACCTGGGGCACCCTGGAGGGAGTCTTGGTGCCGGGGTGTGGGGGACTTCAGAGCCTCTTCCTGGGGTGTGGCCCTCCAGGTGTTCAGGATTTAGTTGAATTTCTCCTTCACTTTCTTGAATGTCTCTGAAAACCAATCCCTGTGGGGAGAGATGGGAGAGCGGGTCGCCGTGTGCGGCCACCCCCCAGGTGTCCAGATGCTACCTCCTCCCTGGCTCCCTGATCTCCGAGCCCACTGTCTGTGAGATTAGGAGGACCGCTGGACTCATGGCCCAACTTCTGGGCCTCAGTTTCCCAGATGGACCAGAGCATCCAACCTGGCTTTCAAGGCTGCCATCTCATGCCACCAACACTTTCTCCAAGCCTGCTCTTGCCCTCTGTCCCCTGTTCGCTCAAAGGCATTTTCCAGCCTCCCTGCCTTTGCTCAGGCTGTTCCCCTTGCCTGGAATGGCACCTTCCCTAGACACCTGCAGATCTTCCTGCCACAGGGCCTTTGTCTCTCCCTCTACAGGGACCGTTCTGCCCAAGCTTAGGACTGGCTGCATTTCCCTAATCACCCAGTGTCAGCTCCTCAGGGAAGACCCCACCACCACAGCTAAAGGAGCCTCTCCCCAGTCCCTGGCTGTCACACCCTGTTTATTGTCTTCACAGGGCTTAGCTCTATCTCTACTCACCTCTTGAAAATCTTTTATTGTCTGTCCCCTCCCCCCTCTTAGAATGTCAGCTCTCTGGGGGCTGAGCCTTTATCTTGTTCGTCACTGTTTTATCCCACACGTTGGAACAGTCTCTGGCACTTAGCAGATGCTCAATAAATACTGGTTAATGAATGAACGCCTCTCTGACTTGCCAAAGGGAGCAGATGTTGGTTGCATGACGTCTTGAGCGTTGACAGCGTGCCAGGCACCCTGCAGGTCCTCGCCTTTACTTGCCCTCAGAACCACCCATTTTACAGGGGAGGAAACTGAGGCGCGTGGTGATGCCCCTCTCTCAAGATCACACAGGGAAAAAGAGGGTCTACACCAGCCTGTGGACCCAGGTCTGTCTGACTGCCAAGCTTGGGTCCTCCACTGTCCTGCCTCAGCCTCCTGAGTAGCAGGGACCACAGGAGAGCAACACCACGCCCGGCTAATTTTTCTATTTTTTGTAGAGCCAGGATCTTGCTCTTGCTCAGGCTGGGCTCAAACTCCTGGCCTCAAGTGATCCTCCCACCTCGGCCTCCCAAGTGCTAGGATTATAGGCATGAGCCACGGCACCCCACCAGAGCCATGTTTAAAATGTGGCCTGGATAGGAGGCAGGGAACCTGTCTCCGAAGTCTGAACACTTTGAAATCCTGCTGTGTGAGCACAGGGATGTTGTCAGCCTCTCTGGACTCCAGTTTTTTCAATCAGTTAATCTTGCACCATCCTCCAGAGCTCCCGCCAGCACGGCCCAGCCCACCTGTGCCCTGGGAAGGGGTCTAACCGGGTCTTGGTAGCAATGTCGCTCTGCTTGATGCGGTCAATGGTTTCCCGGGCCTTGTTCTCCACGGTGTTGCCAAACTCCTTCAGCGTCTCCAAGAGGTCAGGGGCTGCCTGGGCTGGGGCTGGGCCTGCAGGGATGATGGGTGGGGGGTGCGAAAATTTGTTATTGGGAGCCCTTAGGATGGGATCCCAGGGACGTGATTCTTGGGGGTCACGTTGTTAGAATGGGGGATACTGGAGTGGCTGGATGGGGATCAAGCTCCTGGGAACTGGCTTACTCAGCACGGCCCCCTACCCTGTACCACCCCTTTCAAGGCTATAGAAGGAGGACAGCCAATCCCAGAGGTGTGGGAGTTAATACATCATCAGTTGCTAGGGCTCCCCTGGGCAGATTTGCCGCCTTCTGGGCCGACCTCTAGAGAACCTTGGGACCCACCTATCCACCATAGACAAGGCAACCAGGACACAGAAGGGGCCCCAGAGCTCTCAAGGGTCGTCTGAGCCTGACCCCCAGGCCTGTGGCCAGCTTCACGCTTCCAAATCTCAAACTGTCCAATTCTCCTGTCCCAATTTTACCTTCCAAAACCATTGACAGCACCACGACCAGGACCGGGAGCGACAGCGCGAGCCTCATGGTGGGGCCGGAGGGGCACTCTGCAAGCAGAAGCCGGGGTGGGGGTGATCGGTGGCACCCCTTCTCCCTCCCACTACCCTCCACTCCCTTTTTTGAGCCCGTGTGTGTGTGTGTGTGTGTGTGTGTGTGTGTGTGTGTGTGCGGACTGGGGGGGTCCCTCCCAGGCACTCAGCACCAACCTGGATCCTCCCTGCCTGCTGCCCAGCACAGCTCGTGTGAGAGGCGCTGGCCCCGCCCTGGACTTTATCAGGCTGGGGAGGGGGCGGAGCAGGCTCATCTATCTCCCTCTTCCTGAGCCTCTCCCCAGCTGCGGCCCTCCCTGCGCCCACCCACCCTTTCCTCTTCTGCCCCTCGCTGGTGGGGGTTGGGGGAGAGGCGGGGCCCGCACAGCCCTTAGGCCCAAAGCCTCCTGCTGTTCAGCACCCTCATCTCCAAATCTCCCTGCCTTTGGGGTCCTCGGCCTGCCACAGCCCCTCTGCCCACTCAAGGGACAGCCTTCACCCTCTCCCTGTGGCCGTCTCCCCCCAGGGTCTCTCTTCTCTTCTCTCTGACCATCCCCTCATCCTCGCTGTGTCCCCAGGCCCCTTCCTCCATCCACCGTCCCCCTTCTCAGCAAGCCTCCTCAGCTCCCCCAACTCTTCCTTCAGGTTGCTGGGGTCCCCCAGTCTACCCCACACTCTTACCCCCCACGACACCTCCAGTCTCTTTCTCCGAACTGCTCCCCCATCCTCCTGCGTCTGGAAGTGCCCAGACCTCCCTGATGTCTTCGGGTTTTTAACTTTACGGTCTCCAATCTCCCTTTTTTGGGGGGGATTAGGGGGGTCTCTTCAGCCTATCTAAACTGCAAGAACCTCAGCGGCACGAAGCTCTCAGTGTGTGCCCCTCCGGCCCTCCTGCTAGGCCTCCCCGACCCCCTTTCCGTGCCCCCCCCCCGCCCCCGCAGTGCATCTGCTCTCGTTCACCCTCCCAGGCCCCTCCTGGCACCGAGCCTGCCCCTCGCTCCCCTTCTACCAACCACATCCGTCCCCAGGGCTGGAGTCCAGTGCTTCCCCCTTCCCCACCGGCTGCCTTTGACCGCTAGTGACCCCTGGCAGCTTGCGGGGAGGGTGGCCCCGGCCCAGCCCAGACTCTAGGTCAGCTGGCCTTGTGTCCCCTTGGACCACGTGTCTGCCTGGGGGTAGGGAGATGGTTGTGAAAGGGACCTCACAGACACGACCCTGGCAGGATTGCGACATCCCTTTGGCCAACTCAGAGCCTCCGGTCCCTGTCAGCCCCGGCCCCCCACTTCCCGGATGAGCCCAGCACTCCCCAGACATCCACCCAGATGTCTGCTCCCCAACCTCGTGAGAATAGAATAACAGCTCCCTGCTTTTCCAATCTCATCCTCCCCTCAGCTGGAGGGGTTTCCGGTTTATAGATGGGGAAACTGAGGCACAGCCAAGAACATCCAAAGACTCAGTGAGAGGCTAAGGGTGGGGGAGCTCTTTGTCCCTCATCTTCCCAGACTCCAGGCTGTCTCTCTGGATCCCTGCTGGGGTCAGCCCCCCACCATGGCACCCCCTGCCAGGCTTTGTTCCAGAACCTCCTTCCTAAGCCCTTGTCCCTCCTCTAGATCTGACGGGGGCTGCACTGAGGTAGGGCACCCGTCTGCTGAGAGGACCTCATATGTGAGAACTCAGGATTCAGGTCTCCATGATTTAGTTCTTCGAGTGGGAGATGCCTCCCTCATTGCCGTCTGGGGAAACTGAGGCTCCGAGCAGGCACCCCGTGAGTCAGCAGCAGGCCCAGCCGACTCGGCCCCTGCCTCTAGCCCACTGCCCCTTCCCCTCCTCGCTCAGCCCTGTGTGAGTCATTTCTGCGGGAGGGGGGCCCGCCTCTGCAGGGGTGCTCAGAGCAGCGCCAGGGGAAGCCCGGAGTTCAGGGCGTGCAGGAGCCAAACAGGGCAGAGGGACGTGGAGAAGCTGCAGGCCAGGCCCAGGAGAGACAAGCTCAAGTCCCGGCCTGTCCCCTGTTGGTGGGAACGCTGCCCTCCATCTCTGAGAACTGAGGGGGTGGGAGGGGAGGAAAGTGCCAGCAGCTCCCAGGCTTCCACCCAAGCTTCCCTGCCTGAGCACCAACCCCCACCTCGGCACGAGGCCTGGCACAGACTGTCCCGGTGGGTGCCACTCCCATCCGTCCCCAGCCTGGGTCCAGCACCCAGTAGGCTTGCTGGGAAGGACAAGAGGTCGACACCACAGCTGGGGGACAGAAGGATGGAGAATGAGGGGAGAGGCCAGAGGCACAGCCCAGAGCGGGTGAAGGGACTCACTCAGCAAGACAGAGCGGTGGAGGGCCAAACCCAGAAAGAAACCAGCAGAGGCCCAGGCCCGGGAAACCTTAGTAGGGAGAGATAAGATAGAGGTGGAGGAAAACAGGAAGTCAGAAAGTGAAGCCTCCCAGGGAGAGCAGCAGAGGCAGAATCAGATAGGCCTGCAGGGGAGAGGGAGGGAGAAAAATTGGGGGTGGGGGGTGGGGAGAAAAATGGCTCAACAATAATGGCGCTGGTCAGGTCACGTGGGGTGACAAGGACTGCTGGAAGCAGGTGGAATTAAGACAGGCAAACTGAGGCTCAGGCAGGTTTGCTTTTTAGCTCGAGGTCATCAGAGGCAGCAGTAGGATTTGTTCCAGAACCCATATCTCAGAGACGGAATGGAAAGAGGGGCAGAGACAGAGAAGGAAAGCAAAAGCCTGGCGCAGTGGCGCGCGCCTGTAGTCCTGGCATTTTGGGAGGCTGAGACAGGAGGATCGCTTGAGCCCAGGAGTTTGAGGCTGTAGTGATTGTGCCACCACACTCTAGTGCGGGTGACAAAGCGAGACCCTGTCTCTAAAAAAAAAAAAAAAGGAAAGAAAAGAAAAGAAAAGGGACACAGAGAAGGAAAACAGTTGAAAGAGGAGCAGAGAAAGACAGATACAGGCCGGGTGCAGTGGCTCACTCTGGGAGGCTGAGGTAGGAGGATCGCTCGAGGTCAGGAGTTCAAGACCAGCCTGAGCAAGAGTGAGACCCCGTCTCTACTAAAAATAGAAAGAAATTAGCCAGAAAACTAAAAATCTATATAGATAAAATTAGCCGGGCATGGTGGCGTGCGCCTGTAGTCCCAGCTACCAGGGAGGCTGAGGCAGGAGGATCGTTTGAGCCCAGGAGTTTGAGGTTGCTGTGAGCTAGGCTGACGCCACGGCACTCTAGCCCGGGCAACAGAGCAAGACTCTGTCTCAAAAAAAAAAAAAAAAAAGGAGAGACAGGCAGAGGGGAGAGGGCTGGGAACTGTGTGGGGGCGGAGAGAGAAACTGAGGCTGGAGCGGTGAGGAATCACACAGGAAGGACCAGTAGCTGCTGTGAAGCTAGATGAATCTTTATTAAGCTGGGGCCCACCAGGACAGCCAGGGCGGGGACAGGGCCACGGCTGCGGGCTGAGCAGAGGCAGAGGGCACGGGGCAGGAGTGGGGCGCGCCAGGTGGCACGCGGGGGTGCTCAGTGATTCGTGCTGGGCTCAGGAGTGGCGGTGGGGCTCTGCACGGCCGCCTGCAGCTTCTCCACCAGCCCGGCCCACTGGCGCTGCATGTCTTCCACCAGCGGCGTGAACCAGCTCTTGAGCCGGGACTCGAAGGCCTCGGCCTGCAGGCGCAACTGGGCGGCCTGCTCCTCCACCTTGGCCCGCACCTCCTCCAGCTGCTCGCGCACCTCGTCCAGGCGGTCGCGGCCCCGGGCGCCCATCTCCTCCAGCCCTGCGCGCAGCCGCTCGCCCCAGGCCTGGGCCCGCTCCCGCAGCGGCTGGCTGGCCAGGGTGCCCACGGTGGCGGCGCGCGTGCGACCCCGCTCCACCAGCGGCCGGAGGCGCTCGCGGATGGCGCTCACGCCACGCTCGGCGCCCTCGCGGGCCCCGGCCTGGTAGACGGCCAGGCGCTTCTGCAGGTCCTCAGCGTCGCGGAGCAGCCGCTTGCGCAGCTTGCGCAGGTGGGCGGCGAGGCGCGCCCGCAGCTCCTCCGTGTTCTGGCCCAGCACGGCCTGCGCCTCGCTGCAGTACTGCTCCAGGCGGCCGCGCAAGTCCTGCATGTCCTGTCCCAGCCGGGCCTGCGCCGCCTGCAGCTCCTTGGACAGCCGGGCCCGCGTCTCCTCGGCCATCGGGCTCATCTGTTCCTCCAGCTCCAACTTGTAGGCCTTCACCTCCTTCATGGTCTCCTCCATCAGCACCCTGCGGGCGACAGGGCGGAGACAGGGGGGCGGGTGTGCGTCCAGGGAGAGGCAGGGGGAGAGCCACTCAGGGTCCGGGCAGGCAGGGCCGGATGGCGACCGAGCCAGAGAGACCCAAAAGAGGGAGGGAGAGAAGGAAGGGGGCAGAGGCCCAGAGAAGGAGACAGAGACAGACAGAGGTAGCAGAGACATTGACTAAGGAGCCAGGAAGGACAGAGACGGAACAGGAGACAGAAGGGTGGAGGGAGAGACAGAGCTCAGAGAAGGAATCCGAGAGGGAAAGCCAGGGTCAGAAACGGAAAGAGGAAGCTAGAAACGGCAGAGACCCAGACCCGCAAGACTGGGCGACAGGGGCAGAAAGAAACCCAGCCCTGTGGAGGTTCAGGGGTCCAGAGGCCCCGCCCTCCAGGAGGGTCCATCAAGGGCCACGCTGGGGGCACTCACGTCAGTTCCTGCGTGACCTGGGAGCTGAGCAGCTCCTCCTGCACCTGGTTAGACAGCGTCTGCACCCAGCGCAGGTAATCCCAGAAGCGACCCAGGGCCTGCTCCCAGGGCTGGCCCGTCTGCCACTCGGTCAGCTCGCCTGCCTCCAGCTCCAGCGCTGGTTCCACCTTGGCCTGGCATCCTGTGCAGAGCAAGTTCACTGTGTGTGTCTGGGGCCTCCTGTCCTGTCCAGGCACACTGACCTGGTACAGCAGGTGCTCCGCAAACACTCTTGGGCTTCTCTGGGGCCATGGCGGGGTTAGGGGGGGTGTCTGTTTAACCACTTGACAAACATTTGTTGTCTTTGTGTGCCCCGTGCAGGGCTATGCTGGGGTGATGGAGAATAAAAATGATCACAGCTGACACTTGTCTAGTATTCACCACCTACCTGACAACAATGCATTGGAAACTGTTGTAATTCCCACTTTACAGATGGGGAAAACTGAGGCCCACAGAGAGTAAAGCAGTTACTCAGAGCTGGTGAATGTCAGAGGCCACCGACCCGGGCCTCCCCCTCCAGGAGGAGATAGAGGATTAGAGGAGGGGTCCCAGCACCTGGATGGGGCTTGGAGGTGAGGCTGGGAGGGGGAGGAGAGGGGAACCGGAGCCAGCCCCGCCCCCATACCTGCCAGGAAGGTCACCACCACCACCGCCCACAGAGCGTTCATCTTTCTGCCTGCGATTGGTCAGTCTGGGGAGGGAGAAACTGTCAATCAACAGCCATGTCCCCCAGCCCGGCCCCACCCCGGCCCAGCCTTCAAAGCGTTGCCGGCTCCCAGATCCGCAACGGCCTGATCCAATTACAAACATTGACCAAGCTGCTCCTGCACTGTCTATTTAACTCCCTGACCATCCCGTCTTCTTCAATCTCCTCATCCCCAGACCAGCCCCCATTGCCAAAATTCCATCGCCCTCTCCCGGGGTTCAAATTCCAGCCTCCCACCCCCACCCTCACCAGTTGCATCTGAGTCCCGACTGGGCTCTCTAAGTTCCTACCTCGCATTCCCTAGCTACTTTCACATTCCAAACTCCAGCTTCACGTCTAAGCGCCGTTTCTCATTTGTGAGCTAATTTAATCCCCATCTAAAAGTCCTCCTTAGGTCCGTGTCTAGCTACCTTCCTCCACCAGCCATGGGCCTCCAACTATGCACATCTGAAGACAATGGGGGCACCCAGTTGGTGGGTGACAGTGATGACTCATGGGGTCTTGCTATGACTCATCTCCAAGTTTCTTTCTGCAGGTCCAACTGCTCCCCCCCAATCCCTACCTTCCAGCCTGGATGGGACGCCCCTGCCGCCTAGCCCTTCCTAGTTCCAGTCCCCTGCCCCTGGCCTCACCCCCATCTCCTGGGTCTGTCCTGACTCAGGTGTCACCTCTTGTCCCCTAGCCTGTCCCCAAGCAGCTCTCCTAAAACTTTCTTCCTGGAGGCCAGGGGTTCCCGATGTTATAGTCATACCTTTCCAGGGGCCCCTTAGCTGGTCCCTCTGCCTCGACTCTGTGCTTCTCACCCGCTCCTGGGCAACCACGTCCTTCACCTCCGCTGGGACCGAGTAGGACTCAGGGATACCAGACTCATCCAATTATAGGGCTCCCCCTGCCCCGCCCCCTCCCCCAGGGCCAGGGCGGGCTGGGCCAGCCCCCAGTCACGAGGTGGGCTGTGCTCTCCCCCCACAGACACACAGCAGGGCGGAAGAAGGAGGTGGGGCTTGGAGGCCTTGTGACCCCCCCCCAGCCCCCAGGAAAGGAGGTGACACATCACCCAGTAATCCAGACGTCCTCCTCCATTCTTGGGGCTGGGCACAGAGGAGCAAGGAGCGCGGGCTGCTGCCCAGAGCACCCTTCCCTGTGGATGGATGGATAAAATCTGGGGAGGGGGCTGGGAGCTTGGACTCCCAGGTCTAAGTGGGGAGGGAGCTGGGAGTCTGGCTTCCTGGGTCCCAGAGAGAAGGGGGCCCTGGGCAGAAATAGGATGGGAGGGGCGAGAACGGTGTGATGCATCTGCTAACAGCCTGGGCTCTGCCAGTGAAACCTGGGTTTTTTTTTTTTTTTTGAGATAGAGTCTCACTGTGTTGCCCGGGCTAGAGTGAGTGCCGTAGCGTCATCCTAGCTCACAGCAACCTCAAACTCCTGGGCTCAAGCGATCCTCCTGCCTCAGCCTCCCGAGTAGCTGGGATTACAGGCATGCGCCACCATGCCCGGCTAATTTTTTCTATATATTTTTAGTTGTCCGATTAATTTCTTTCTATTTTTAGTAGAGACGGGGTCTCGCTCTTGCTCAGGCTGGTTTCGAACTCCCGAGCTCAAACAATCCGCCCGCCTCGGCCTCCCAGAGAGCTAGGATTACAGGCGTGAGCCACCGCGCCCGGCCCGAAACCTAGGTTTTAATCCTCACTTTCTCTTTGGCTGCGACCTTGGGCGCATTGTGGATTCCAGGAGTCACCCACAGGTGCTGCCCACAGGGCTTAAAGGAAGAGCACCACCTGGGGAGGTCTCTGGAACCAAACTGCTGAGGCTCGAATCCTGGCTCTGCCAGTTGCCAGCTGTGTGACCTTGGCCATAGCCTCTCTGAGCATCCAGTGTCATTGCCCATAAAACCGGGGAAGCAGCTGCACCCTGCCAGATTGGTGACACGCTGCACTAATGTACGTGGCGGGTACCGAAGACAGCCCCTGGCATACAGGAGGTCTTGCCTTGGGGCTACCTGCTTAGTGGCCACAGGGAGGGCCCCAACACGGCCACCTTCCTAGCAGCCTGTTACGTAAACCCAGCTGCCTCACAGATGAGAAACCTGAGCTCGGCGTGGAGGGAAATAGCAGAGCCACACACCAAGAATGAGAGCTGGGGTTCATTCCTGGTTGTGAGACGGTGGGAACACTGCATTCTGCGGGGCCAGGAGAGGCTGAACATCTGGTTCCAGGGAGCCCCAGTGCCAGGGCTGTCCTGGGACAGGCCTGTTTGCTTTGGCCTCAGCGCTGGCAGGAAGCGAGCAGGGTGGCTTCTCTGGGTAACTTGGGGTCAGCTCTGTGCAGCAGCCTCCTCCCCATCCCCAGACCCTGGGGGCAGACAGGGTTTCACTTCCCCTGTCTGGAGAGGGGTCAGGAGTGGGATCCTGTGCGTGTCTCCGCTTAGAAGAATCCCGACACCTCCTCCTCAGGTCCAGGGGAGCTGGCCCCCAACCCCAAACCAAGCCCTTCTCCCCTGGGTGCAGCAGCTCTCGGCAGTTCCTTCATTGTTTGGAAGCTTGTCCAGCAGCTCGAATCCTCCGCTCATTTTGGAACCTGCAAAGACCCGAGAGTCCCAGCTCCCCGCCCCCATCCCTGTTGCTTTAGTTTGCAGGGACAAAGTCCTCTACAGCCACACTGGCCAGGCCAAGCTGGGGGGAGTGACCTTGAGACCCTGCCCTCCTGGTGAGGGGAGGCTGTGATCCCGGGCCAGGCTCTTCCCGCGCTGGTTCGGTGCAGCGCCCGGCCCTCCAGCACCCCCTACTGGCGCCTGTGGGAAGGTCGGGCCGGTGGACTCGGGGATGAGATGCTCAAACAGGGCCGCACAACGCTTGGGAAAACCAAGGCCTCCCATCTTGATCTTTTTTTTTTCGTGTATATTTTTTGTTGTTTTTTGTTTTTTTCTGTAAAATGTCCCGGTTCTTCCATAACTTATAAACATGATTCATACCGAGGGGTAGATGGGGAAGTGGAGGGGGCGGACTGAACGGGGATGGGGAAGCTCCTCTTGCTGCCCCCTCAGGGCGGGCCGGGCCCTTTGGAGGATGGGGATGCCAGGACACTCCTCCCTGAGGTTGTCTGGCCCCTCTGCCCCTGGTGCTCAGGATCCTGCGTGCCCTCCGTTCCAGAATCCCTTCCGGGACCTCGGGCCCACTGGGCGTGCGGCCCCCACTGCTCAGAATCCCGAAGCGCCCCTCGGTTCCGGAATCCCCTCCTCAGCTGCTGGGTGGTGGGTTCCCTCCTTTCCGCTGTCCTCCCCTGACCCCAGAGAAGGGAGGGAAGGGAGGTGGAGGGGGACTCAGGTCTCCCCTCCGTGGCAGGGGGAGGTGGAGGTGGGATCTGCAGGAAGAAGGGTGTGGAAGGCGGGGGCCAGGAGGGGCTCAGCCGATGGTGAGGCCAAAGCCACACTGGAACTTGTTCTTGCGGTGATTCAGGAAAGCCCCGAGGGCCAGCGTCAGGGGCAGGGGCGGGAGCTTCTTCTCTAGTGTGGCGCCCACGATCCAGTTGCTGTCCACGGAGCCTGTGGGTAGACAGCGGGCGTGAGAGGGGTGTGCCACCTTCCCATCTTGTCCCTGAAACCTCTTCTCGCCCCCCAACGACTTTACCCCGGGAGCAAATGGCTCCCGGCTCCTCAGCTCTCTGCTCGGGGCCCCCTCCCCTCCTCCATGGCCCTGGGCGCCCCCTGGGCCCCAGTCTTGCCCACTCTGGGTCATCGTCTCTGGGGCTGCTCAGTCGTGTCCCCAGCACTGCCCAGCATGAGGCCGGGCGCACAGCAGGTGCTTGCAATCCGCTGAGTGAGAAACGAAAGTTTCTTCTAGGAATCGCCCACCAGGGCCTCACAGACACAGCACAGGGGACTGCCACCACATGGCCGGAGGGGCTCAGGACTCACTTAACAAGCAGGGCAGCAGCAGAGCCGGAACACAAACCCACCCCCTAACAACAGACTGCAGAGCAAGCAGTCAAGGGGCCAGGACGGAAGGCGGGTTTCAGAAGCGAGCAGATCGAGCGGATCTGCGGGCCTCATCCCGACCCGACGGGCCTTCCCAGGTGGTCTTTAAACACCCAAAACACGAGGGTCATAAGACTAAACACGGAGACTGGAGCCAGTCAGCCTGGGATGAGGTTCTGGATCTGGCCGTGACCTTGCAACTTCTGGGAGCGTCAGTTTCCACTAAGGTGAGATGAGCAGGGACGGCTGGCTGCTGTCCAGGCTGCCTTCCACGTGTGTTGGGGGGAGGGGAGGTGGAAAGCTCCAGTTTGGCCCAAACACACCCACCCGGTGCTCTGGGCGCCTACTGCGCAAGCACTCCCAGGTAATTGGGAGGCCCGCAGCGCCCCAGCGCACTGTCCTCTATCATCTGCTTTGGCCTACACACCTACTCAGGGCTGAGTCACCTCTCACTTGTTTGCCACGTAGGGAAACTGAGGCCTTTACCTTTGAAGAGGAGATTGGCCTTGGGCAGGTCCAGCTGGTACCCAAAAGAGACACTGGTGTCCTGCATCCTTGTGCTGGCCTCAAACTCCACGCCCACCTGCAGCTGGAGGGGCCAGGGCAACATGTAAGAGTTAGCTGCCCAAGCTGGACTTCCAGGCACGCCAGCCCCTGGCAACACCAGCCTGGAAAGCATACCCTTGCGGCCGGTCCCTGGACCAGCTCACCTGGTCACTGGCCTTGTGGTAGTACGTTGCATGCATGCCCGCCTGGCCCAACGTTACTGTCGCCAACCAGTTGTT